TTCAATTTGAACCCCAGTTAAATTGTATTTTCTATGATATGCTTATTACTGTTCTTCATAAAAAATACATGTTTATTTTCCTCTGCAGAGTAAAGTAAACATGACATACAAATTTAGAGTGAGACTTGTCAGCAAACACATGAGATCATGGACATTAGTCTGAGCATAAACTTTCTATTACATTCCATTTACTGCTAGTGCAATAAAACTGTCATCAGATCGAATGGGATTTTATACTGCATCAGCTATAATACAATGCCATTAAATTGGAAGTATATAAATTTTCCATTCTTCTCTTACTCATGAGTTATGAAAATTAGAATGTTATGCACAGCATCATGCCATGGCTTGCATATTCCAACAGATAAGTAGTGATTTAGTCAGGGTAGTTTGGGACATATAATTAATTTCTGATTATAAGGCTGTTTTGCAGTGTGAAAAATAGTATGTTTACTGTAGTAAGGACTGGAAATCTTTTAATGAAAATTTGTATGAAAAATATGTAGGTAAAAAACCTAAACACCAGTTCCCCAATTTTGTTTGGGATAAAACCTAGAGGACAAAAATTAAAAAAACCTCCTTTATATGCTCCAAGACAGGAGACAACCAAAATAGTTAATGGAACTGCATTCACTTTAAAACGAAGGCTTAAAAATGCCACCAGTATCCAAGAAGTTTAGTTTATGGGTCCACAGTTCAGGAAATCAAAAGCAACCAGGGCTCACTTCTCACCTTGGAGATGAGAATACACAGCTTCAGGTCACTGTCCCTTGTCCAATTTGCTTTCCTTACGTATGTTGATAGGACACAAGACTGTAATAAGTGGCTTCCTTGGGCAACACTGCGGGTGTTCTGACATAAAAATGACCCTGGGGAAATCATATATTTCTTCATAGTTCTTTCTCATCACTTTCAACATTAGACATTTCCATTCTTTCATTTTAAAGTACCTTCTCACTTGCAATTATTTGATATTATGCAACTTATTACAATGTATCTACACATACAATTAATATGCTCTGTATGTAGCACTTGGAATATAGTATTTTAAAAGCCTATGGTGAACTGAAACAATATATTAATATATATTGCATTTAATTTTTGTAAGAAGTAGAGAAGTTTAATATTTACATCCTTCTGGTGCTTAGACACCTGTCAGGATTGAAGTGATGGTTGTACTATACAGATATGGTCCTTGCCCCTGTAAAACCTAGAGATATCTTTCACTTTTCAGATATGGCAAGTCTGAAAATATATCTAAGTACTAGTGGACAGGTGACCTGAACAGACTTTATCTCAACTGAGCCTTCTGTTTTAATTTCTCATGGTCTATTCCTTTATATGTGGGTTCATTAGACATGCTGTCTGACTGACATCTTCCACAATTAGTGCTCACATATAATGAGATGCAATGCTGACAAGGATTCTGTTGTTTTCTATAGTTTCACAGAAAGGCCTTTTCCTTCTTCTTTGGCACTGATCCATTAAGACCGTTGCACCATGTACAACTGGTGACTGGGATTGAAAATAATTTACACCCATTAAAACATTGCTTGTGTATCATCAGCTCCACCTCTTGGATTAATTTGGTTTTTACAGATCCAGTAGTTGGTTCATAGGGGAATCCTCTCTGGAAATGTGAAAAGTCCTGAGGCAGTGCCCTAGTAAAAGCATCTGGCTCAATTAGTCTATCCTGCAAGTTTAATGTTCAGTGCTTGATTACCAGTAAAGTTTAATTACGAGTTATTTTACTAATAATTTGGGTTACATTGTCCTCTAGTGGCTCATATAGAAAACTGCCCTGCTGACAGACTCGTTTTGCCTTGTGTTTTTAAATCCTCTCATACTCTTTTCACACAAATCCAAGTCACGTCAGAAGAGGACTAGTGCAATGGCCAAATAAAAAGTTTGCATCTTACTGCCACTATATCAGTACAGCAAGATCTATCCTCTATAACTGCATATGTTCTACTTAATACATATTTAAAGTAGTTCAAAATAACAACAGAGAGTTGTGAGAAGATACTGCATTTAATCAGAGCATTTGATGGAAAAAAAATCATCCTTCTTACTGACAGTAACAAAGAATAAACTCAGCATGATTTTTTTTAAATAGGTTGAAGACTAGTTCACTTCCACAAAATGCACAGAGATCTTGTATGAAGGAAAAAAGAATAGCCCTCCAACATGTCCTGTGGCTACTCACTCATAAATCTCAGTAACACCAGACTTTTGCCCTGTAGTGTGGAAGCATCGCCTTTTATAGGAAGCAGTGAAAGCACTAGAGCGCTTTGCAGCTGGGTGTTTGCCAGCTTAATGCAGATGTTTGCAAATAGGAGGAGAGATCTGGGAGCATGGAGAATAATGCCAGGGTGTTTGCAGTGAGAAAACACATGTTTTACATTACTTTGAAAAGGAGATACCGTATTCTGTCACGTGCTGAGTTTGTTTTGCCCCTGTGGCAGAGCAGGAGGATTGCTTCTGGTGGAGGCCTTGGCCTTGGTCACGGGAAGCATGGCAGGCACCGCAGGCGGGATGCTCTGACTGGCGAGTCTTCTCTTTTCATATTGTATCTTCCTTGACCAAATGCCATGAGTAATGATGAATAGAGGTTACTCTGCAGAGATAGTTTCTCTGTGTGTAAGAAGAGGAGGAGTGCTATAAATGGTTCTGTTTATACCTCCAGGGTTATGTTGGAGAAGCAGCAGTTACAAGTGATGAAGGAATGTGGTTTCTCTCCTCTTAAAGAAATGATGGGCCCCTCCAGCAAGATGATAGCTCATGGTTTCTGTTGCTGTTTGCAATAATAGGAAAGACAAAGGAGTACTCTGACCTTACAGAGTTAATTTTCGAGGCTTTTTCAAACTAGCATGCCTTGTACTCTATCAGGGAAATAATATATCAGGATTCTGTAAAAATTCTTTGCTCAGGTCCTCCATCTCAGGCGACCTTTTTTATTCCTCCCTTTTGGAGAGGCCTTTGTTTCAGTCCTCAGTGTTAATGGCAGAGCTAGTCTGGACCATGAGTGGGCCCTCGGCAGCCTCCTGTCCTGCGTGGCGGCGGCGGTGGTGGTGAGCCCAGCCCTGCGAGGGACGGGCAGGGCACAGGCCGGGAGCCAAGCGGGCAGAGCTCCTCTGCGCGGCCTCCTGCTCCCAGGCCTCCTGCCAGTGTTGGATGGATGTCAGCCGGTTGTTATTCATTCCCTGGGCCGATCTTCCTCCAAACACTGGGAGAGTTGCAGAGCAGCTTAATTATACTTGACACGGCAGAGTCATGCGTTTGGTGTTGTCCACGTACTGCCTCAGACTTGCACGTATACTCACACCCAGCAAGCATAAATAACTGCCACAGCTGAGAACGTGCTGACAGAAACATAACGTTTAAAGGCAGCCCTGAGGTATAAAATGCCTTCACCTTGTGAAATCATCTGTGGTACCATTCTTACGGTTTGCTCGGAGGTTCATTAGGTGGTGATGGATGCAGGAATATTTGCAGAGTGTTACTTTTATCTAGTGCTCTATGACTCTTCTGCCACCAGGGATCTTTTCAGTTGCGTTCAGTTTAGAACTTAGGTACCTTCTTTATTTCTTCACAATTAGCTGCCAGGAGGAGGGTGATGGCTTTTATTTCTTTAACAAAAAGGCTTCATTTTAAAAAGTGCTTTTGTAACTCTTGCATCAACATATTTTTTTCATGCTTTGCAATGTTATTTTCCAGGGGTTTATAATTGTTTATTTAACATAGGTGCCAAGCAAATTTCTGTTTATTCTCAGTTCAGAACTGGGGTTTTATCTTTTACATACCAGAGGGTGAGTTGTATGGACTGATCTGTTTAGAGCTCCCTGACTACAATTTCTGCTGTAATGATTTCTTAATCTTTTGACTTTTTTCAGGTAGCTATCAGGCCAGTGGTTGCCCTCCCTCCACACTGGAATCTTACAGAAACCCATTACTGCTTCCCAGGTGTGCTCTTTCTGACACCCTAGCAGCGAGGGGCTCTGCCCCATCATTAAGGTCGCAGCAGCACTTCCCTCCACCAGCTGCTGTGGCAATGCTCGGCTTCCTCCTGCAGGCAAGGAGAAAGTGTGACCGATTACGCCTGTTCCTATTAATCAGGCAAATACAAGCTTCTCTTCAAAGCAGAGAGGGAGGTCGCTCCTACTGACTGTATCTGTCACCATTCTCCTCCAGCTGTGTGTTAACTCTATCTTTCTGTAGTGTATTTTACATCAGGGTTAAGCCAGCAGAGTCTATCCAGAATAACCTGACCCTTGATGTCAAACTCAGTTAAAACTGGAATATGATGGAAGCAATTTTTGGTGAAATTGATCATAAGGTGACCTCTCATAAGGCTGTCTGGGAACTGTATATGCTAATGGGAAAAACAAAGTGGTGACCTTGTGTGTTCTCAGACTGCTGGGTGTAATCCTGCTCAGCACAGCAATGCATTTGTCAGGTTTTTGACGAGATCTTTACAGCCGTCTGCCTGGCAGGTCCCCCGGCACTTACCTGTGTGCCTCTAATGCCTGCAGATACAAACATGTGAGTGTACCTTGCTCAGTAACAGATGTCTTTACAGAACAGATACCATTACTCATTGCTTTTCTGTGTGAATGTAGAAAGCATCCTTCAGTGGAAAACAGGTGGTAATTTTATTTAAATCCAACTGTATCATAGAGCAATAAAACTAATGAGATGATAAAGCCTTGCCAGGTTTTCTGTTTCAATAAGCACCTAATCTTGAAATTGTTTTAATCAAGCTTACTTATCAGATGGTCTCATTTCTGCATTGCCAGCACACACCTGAAATTACGGCTTGGCCTCAGATTAAAAGGTGATGCTGTTTTGATTTGCACTGTTAAATCATTTCTATTTGAGGATTAACTTTTTGTTTGGCCTTTTCTAAAGGCAGTGTTCATCAGTAAAGTGGCTGTGCGTGAATGGTAACATATTTGCATTTTCTCTCATCAGAATAACGAAATGGTGGAGCTGCAGAGGATACGAATGAAAGATGAAATTCGAGAGTACAAGTTTCGAGAGGCAAGACTCCTACAGGACTACACTGAGCTTGAAGAAGAAAACATCACCTTGCAGAAACTGGTGTCCACACTGAAACAGAATCAAGTAAGCATCGTAACATTCAAGGCTCTATGCTGAAAAATGACAACATTTTCTCCAGTTTCCATAGTGTGATCCTGCAGAGTGCTTTGTTAGAAGTTTCTTTGTATGTTTTTTTTTTCAGTTGGGTTTTTGCTGAACACTTATTCTAAAACAGTGTTATTGACCATTTTTGACACATGGGGAGGCCCTGGTGGAATATTTCATTGCAGGAATTTGTAATAGCAGAGGAGTTATTAAAATAGATAGAATTGCATCTTTTCGTTTCCTGCTTCTCCTGTCTTCCCTCCCTGCATGTTGAAATCAGTGCCCAGTGGCAGAGTTCAGCCCTTCATTTCCTCTCCGTTGGTTTCCTGCATGTCCTTTCCTCTTCTGGAGAAAAGAGGAAATGATCTTCCCCCCATTCTCCTATTTTTTTTTCTGCTCCTGTACCAGTGTTGCTCTCTTCTCAGCCATGCTAACCCACAAGTTTAGCAAGCTTCAAAAATAAGTGATGTCAGATATTCCTAGTTTGTCTTGTTTTCCTTATTACAGCAATTTGATGGCAAACCAACACACTGTAATTCTCACTGCAGTGCAGAATGCACCACCATAAACAATAGCCCCATTGCATTCAGATGTAAGCAGTCATGGGGTCTGTTCTCTCCCCCTTACACAAGCACAGCTTCCTTTGCTGCTGGATATATATACTGCTGAGGAAGCAATCAGGAACACATTTATCCTTTAAATTGAACAAAAGAGATTTGTTCCCACATCAGAAGAATTAACTTGCCGTGATCAATATTGAAGTATCCAAGTTGGATGATGTAACACTTTCTGCCTTTTAGGCACTATCCAGACCAGTGTAACATTGCACTCCGTAACACCATTTCCTTAACTGCTAGCAGATGGTAACAGCACTGCGTTGCAGCCCCTGCTTTATGTCCTGACCTACTGCCTGGTTCAGTTAGGGCTTTTATCAAACACCCAAGACTGTCACAGTTTCTAATGGCAGCCTGATAACAAAGCTGCCTTGTTCCTGCAGGAATATGCAGTACTATTTCAGCTATCTTTAACTGCTATTTTACCGCTCTAGCACAAATGCAATTGAAACATTTAAAACAACAGAGCCGCACTACAGGGAATATGCAGGTAATAGAAACAGGTACATTGTTTCCTTATTTATGAAGATACCTAGACTTTCACACTCCTGAAACTGAATTTGTGGCAGATCATCTTTGTGTCAGAGTTATTTACCAAGCCAGCAAATTCCCCCTTTGAGGCATGGATTTTTTCCTCATCAACCTCATAAGAGGCATTTTCACACTAGCAGGAAATTAAAGACCCCTTTATGGACAAGAAAATCTGTTTGCAAGTGTTCATATTTGCCATAATATTTCATTCTTAATGAAACTGAATGACAGCAGCCTTTGGAGAGAAAAAGCAGTGCCACATTTCGAATGGCTTTAAAAGTCAGTCATTTTGCATCACATATCCATGCATTTGTGATTCCTAAAATAACTTTGATCTACAAAGTAAAATTTCAAGCTCATTTTATGCTTTAATACTTTAACTTACAAAACCATATGTTATAAGTCTTAGTGCTAAACTGTCATTATCTGGGTTGGGGTTTTTTTATAGCTTTTGTAAGGAAGAATCTATGAGATGGTAACTGTATAGATAATGTAGACCTCTGGTTTTCATATGTATTTAAAATTGAAAAAGGATTAGGAGGGTTTTTTTTTTCCTCTGTGTCCTTAAGTTACAAACATAGCTACTTGATTGGATTTCATAATCTTTCAGATGGACCTGTCCCTCCAGTCAGAAAAGGTATCAAGTTCCTAAATGTAAATTTGAAAATCTCATGGATTTTCCTTTTCTACTTAAGAATTCCCAGTTGACTTTGGAACTTTCTTTGTTGTTTGATATGTTTCCATTTTCTGGGTCTGAAGATTAGTACTTTGGCTTTTAAGTTTGCCTTTCCAAAGGTTTATAAGTACAAGACTTTTGACAGGTTGATAAATATTCTACTCCAATAGAAATGGTGGACATTTCTGTTTTCACCAGAACCTTATTATAATTTGTTTAAATATCTATATGTGTCATATAAAAAATATTCTAGACACTGCCTTAAAATTGCAGATAGTAATGCATTTGAATTATAAAAGCCTCAACTGCAAAAAGATTTTTTTTATGGAAGCATGAAAATTTAGTATTTCTTTTTCACCAAGCTATTAAATTATTTCACCTGATATCTGATTTTTTGTTTCATTTAGAAATTAAAAGGTAGATGAGTAACATGATTAGAATTAAATTAAAAAATCAAAAGTAATCATTTTTACCAGGAGAATTGGTCAAGCACGGATATGGACCTTTACAAACAAAGCTCTTCCTTTTCACTGCTGTGGGATTTTCCAACAGTGAAAAGGAAGATGAGGAGGGTCGGTGAGGGAAGGTGTTCTGCAGTGCGGATCTGCTGCACAGTCTAGATATTGCTGAGCAACTGGTTTCAAGCTAGTTTGGCTTTTCCTAGGCTTTGCTGCTTGTTAGGTGCAATAGAGAGGACTGCATAAACGTGGGAGCTGCCTTTAAAGAAGGTTTTCCTCAGCCCATAATGCCCATAAATAACTTGATAAAATACTGCACCTCGGTGTGAGGCAAGGAGCTTGCCCTCTGAGAAGGAGAAAGACCAGTGAGTCCCTCCAAGCCTGGCCAGGATGCACCAGCTTGGTGGGACACACTTCAGGCAGCGCTGTCAGAGCAACAGGTTGCTGAGTGCTCCAGAATGGCATCCCTACAGGCAGTTCAAGGACTAGGTGGCTGAATGAGCTGTTTACTACATTTTTCCAGTAGTTTAAAAATCTCTAATGAATTGGGGCATCTTAGAGTTTAAACTGATTGTGTGAATAGTTTGCTGTTTAATTTTTTTAATTAAATGCTTCTTGAATAATAGAGACTCTTGTATAACACAGAGAAGACAGTTGAGGCTCTTCTACCATTTTTGTACCTTCCATCCATATTTTTGAAAACTACTAAGACATCAATATACTTGAAAGTATCTTTGCCTGAGCGACTTTACATCTAGTAAGAATTTAGATATGAAGTCTTCATATCTAAAGAAGATATGAAGATATGAGTATCTTCAGAATACTTGCAATTAATAAATCAGACTATATTAACTTGAGATTTATATGTACCTTGATATACCAACATTGTTTATGGCAATTCATAATATATCTATGGTTACCAGGACATCTGCTACTAAACTGTCTTCTTTCCATTAAATACATTGTTTATCCTTATAAGTTACTCAGAAAAAGGTGTTATATTTCTTGATTCTCACATGCTGAAAAAGCAAACAGTGGAGTATTTAACAGAGCGAGCTCCACTTGCATTTTCTGTGCAGCCAGTTCTTTGCAGCTGCAGGCAATGTCTGATATTTCAAACCATAGTTTCTGTAACACCTATTTCAATAAGGCTGATAAATGGCAGGTTTTCATGACTCAAGTTTTAGTATTATGAATGTTCTTTGTCTTGTCTAATCCAGGTTGAATATGAAGGCTTAAAGCATGAGATTAAACGATTTGAGGAGGAGACAGTGTTGCTTAATAGTCAGCTAGAAGATGCCATCCGGCTGAAGGAGATTGCTGAGCATCAGCTGGAGGAAGCTCTGGAAACTTTAAAAAATGAAAGAGAGCAAAAGAACAACCTGAGGAAGGAACTCTCCCAGTATATCAACCTCAATGATAGTATGTATAATAACCACATTAATATATCAGTAGATGGATTGAAGTTTGCAGAGGATGGGGGCGAGCCCAACAATGATGACAAAATGAACGGACATGTCCATGGACCTCTTGTGAAACTCAACGGTGACTACCGAACTCCCACGGGTAGGAAAGGAGAATCTCTGCACCCTGTCTCTGACCTCTTCAGTGAGCTCAACATATCAGAAATACAGAAACTGAAGCAGCAACTCATGCAGGTAAGAGCTGAATTTAATGTCCTGAAGTGTTTAGGCACACATCCCACGGACCCTAGTGCCAACTTTTGCAATGATTTCCCCCAGTGACGTTCTTGACCACGTATGTCCTGTTCTCAGACTTCTGCTTTGGTGTTTCTTCATATCCAGGTTTTGCTAGAAATATCCCTAGTAAACAGAGTATCTGTCTGCAAAAAGTCAGTGTGATCTGAGCAGATGTTTAGTATAAAGAGGAGAAAGGGACCTAGTTGCTGCGGTTGCAGATGGTTAGATTATTTTTTTCCTGCTTTGATAATGGGAAATGTCCCTAAAATTGCAAGTGGAATAAAGTACTCTTCAGTATGACCAAAGCTATCTGGAAAAAACCCCACTAAAATACAGACAGACTTGATTATGCTCCCTTGCAAGTCAGAGGGAGTTTTTGCCATTAAATTCAGTTTGAACAAGAGTTGGCATACCGTCAAGAGAGAACAAAAGGAGAGGAGCGCTCCTCTTAACAACCATGCACTTGGAGAGCATGTGGCGTGTGGGATGTCACAGAGAGCCCTTGTCTGCACTGGCAGTCCCAGCGGATGCGCAGGCTGCAGGGGGTGCCTTGGGGACCATACAGTGAGCATTACTTCTCTATTCATCCAGTCCCAGCCCAGGCGTCCCCAGAATAGGAGGCTGGGATGCAAGCCAGACAAAAACTGAAGCTGCCAGCCCCGATGCTGACATCACCTTAGAAGGGGTACAGTGCCACACGGAGAAAGGGTCCTGCTGCCAGAGCTGTTGAACATCTTCTCTGCCACAAGAGCTTGAAAGGTTTTGGCACCATCAAGGAAACATCCAGCATTTTCTAGCTGCAGGCTTCCAAAAAGTGCCTCTTCTATAGATAGTAAATGTAAATCCTTTACTGCATAAAATGTAACAGGCAATTTGGAGGTGAAGTAGAGCAAACCCAATTTTCAGTGCTTGCTAGAGAACAATAAATCCCTACATGGTCTGTCCTATACTTGCTGAAGAGTTAATTGTTTTATTTACTTCATTGCCAAACTCAAAGTTTTGACCTGAGCTGTGACATGGCAAACACTGATGACATCTAGTGCTTTGCACAAATAACTTTGATGCAAGACATACATAATTCAAGTGGGAAAGCTTGAAATTTAGAATTTTAAGTGAAAAATTTTGTCAAAATTTTCCAGTACTAAAATGTAAACAGTGTGTGTGTTTTGTGTATATGTAAAAATATGCATATGTATGTACACATTTATGTATATAATATATGCACATTTATATTATATGCAGCGCTTCATTCAAAAATATAATGTTAAAAATTAAAAAAACACAGCCTCAGAAGTAATGCTTTTAAATGTTCACATTTTAAAATACAGCATAAGCATTTTCAACCATAATTTACAATGAAGTTTATGCAATATAAATTTGGACTGAAAGCTGCTTGGATATGAAAAAAAATTGTTTTGGGTATGTTTTTTCTTGATTTCATTAAATTAAATATTGAGCTTGATGAATCAGCAAACTTCTACTTGAAAGATACTGCAGATGTTTTTATCACCTCTGACTTAAAAATGTATTTATTTTACACCTCTTAAACAAAGAGGCAGTCTCTTGACAGCCACTAACTGCAAACTTAGGACCCTAGAAAATAAATATAACCATTTTTCAGTCACGACATTTTTCAGTACTGGGTCCCAGCACCCTCATACAAATAGTTGCCACCATTCCTCAGCAATCTAATCCTGTTAAAAGGTTTATGGTTTAAAAAGAAAGACTAGACCTAGCTGGAAACCTGATTTTATTTTTTTTTTTTAGATATTGAAAAGGCTTACTGCAAAACGGTAACATGTACTTTTTATAAAGCTATCATCTTCTCTGTTGAGTTGCATCAGCTTATGTTGTGTCACACAAATTAAATACGAAAAAATACCTCCAAAAATGTTCCTCATAGTAGACAGGAGATTAAATTTGATTCAAGCTGACAAAAGGTAATTCTTCAGCAAAACTGGATTTTTTTCTCCTCTAAAGTGTCTTTGCCATGTGGAGTTCATTCAGCAATATCTCAGTATTTGGTATATGTTCCTCTTGTTTTCTCTGAAGAGGCCATACTATGACAGAGTTGCTGAAGGAACTGACCCGCTCTTAGGAACTATTTTTATGCCTGTAGGACAGCAGACTCCTTTTTTGAGAGAAGCAAACTTCAGATTTGTCATTTTGTAGGTGCGTGGCAAATTTTTTTCACTCCTTGATCTCAGAAAGCAGTCTTCACTAAAACAGTTATGACAGATATGCAGATATTCTGCAGCTTTAGGATGCTGCTGCTCTGTGATCTGTGCTGGCCCCTAGGAGAGATTTAATTGTAACTCTTCCCTTTCTATCTTTTAAATCCGCTAAATAACAAATGTCTTGCTGAAAATTCTTTTATTCTGAGATTTTCTCAGAAAAGCTCAAGGCTTTCTGCTCTTCCTTCATGTTTGCTGTCCAGTGGAAAGAATTCTTTACCTCATCTTTAAAACTTAGGACTCCTCTTTTCCTTCCATTGTGATGCCTTCCCTTATTGCTGAGGCCAACACCATATTTGGAAAACTTAGATTAAGTTCTCTTAAAAAAAGAAGGAAGAAAAAAAGTCATGCAGCCCAGTGTCTGACACTTTTCTCCAGTTGCCTGGTACTCTCTGACGATACAGCTGACATTCAGGGTTGTTGAGCTGCATTTTCCTGCTTGTTCCAGCCTCCACTAGGAATTGTTCGCTGATATTCTGATGTTACTTAAAAAAAAAAAAAAGGGATAAATACCTATGGTAAAGTTGGTTTCCATAACTGCAAACTGTAGAGCAAATTGGGAAGGAAATTTCCTCAAACTGAAATCTTTGAAGGGAAGGATACATCGCAAAATATGTACAGCTACTTTTCAGTTGCTTTTATTTTCATTTTAAGATAATAAAAATTCTTACTACAGCTAATAATTTCAATGTCACCCCCCCCCCCGCCCCCCACCAACTGGACTGAAAAATAACTGCAATTCTGAAAAGTTTGCTGTGGGTGGAAATAAGAGTATAGTATAGTCTGGAACAAGAAATATAATTACCATACTTGGAAACAGCAGAGTCATTAACATGCAGAAGGTGTACTCGAGGCTGAGTTGGAGCTTTGGGGTTTTTTCCCTTGGAAGTAGAAGCATGTATTTATAACTTTAAACAGAAGTGGATTAGCTTAATCCATAATTACTGGACGAGAATCAGTAAAATTTTGTAGATCTATGTATTTCATTTTACCTACTGACAAGTTTGTACATGGGTTTTAAAATTTCCTTGTTTTCTATGGAATGAATCCTTTCTATTTGAAAGAAGTATTTGTTTCCAGAACACGTAGTTCAGAAGATAAATTATCATAAAGTTCCCAATTAGCTCTGTTATAGTTTTCCTTCATGATAGAGTATGACAGCTGAGATCAATAATCTGGCAAGATCAATTCTGATTAATTTAAGCAGACACGGAAACACTGTGCTGCTTTAACACCGAGTTGTTTTCTCAAAGGAAAGGCTCTCTGGCTGTAAGCTCTTTATTTATTTTTACACTAATGCAATCTACAGTTAATTGCCTACTTTGGCATGAACACACCCACAGTGGACCCATACACCTTAAAAAGCCAGCTGCCTTTGGTGTATAATGTATGGACCTTTATTACCTATATGACTTCTCACCATAAGGTGAGATAGTACTTTAAATTAACCAAAACTCAGAGTTTTTTCATGCACATGTGTAGCTCACCTTACCAGCCTGGAGGAATAAATACCTTCATTATCTGATAAGGGTAATGTAATTAACACCTAAGCCTGCTATGCCAGGTGGTAACAACTAGAGTTCAGCTGCAAATTTGTCAAGAGAGCAGACCTGGGGCAGACTGGTTGATGGAAAAAACAGAGGAAAGCTAGTGAGAAGGATTCTCCTGGGTCAATCTCTGAGGCTTCCCAGGACAGGTCTGACCAAGAGATCTGTGGAAAGTAGTCACCGTTTAAGAAGATGTTCTTGGCAAAGGGGAAGGTTGCCCTATTTTGGATTTTCTCAAGAAGAGTGGGCTGACGTGGGGGGTGAGCAGCGATGGAGATGGCAGGCAGACTGAGGCAGCAATGGGAGGGAGCAATGTCCAATGGAGCAAGGTACCAATATACTCGTGGTACTTGGCTGTCCTCTTCTGTGCAGACTATGTGGTGCCTAAAATGGAGCCTAAGGAGACAGACTCTTCCTGATTATAAAATAACGATGAGGTTTGGCCCTGTTTTATTAATTCTTAAGCTCTCAGTCCCCTGTACATGAGAAAACTAGGCCGATTTTTAAAGATTTTTTTAACATGGTTTTTATTTTTATTCTTACAGTTTCTACCTGCAATTGATTGCAGGCTCTAATAGTGGCTGTGTTTTGAAAGCCTGTCTGTAAAACCAGGGGAATCACCATATGCTTTAGTGCCTTAATACTTCTGAGTAGCAGCCACTGCTCAAAAGCCTTGTTATGAGAAAACAGGAGTCTGAAGCACTGTTCAGAACAATTTGTGAGATGGCATTAATACCCTCTCAGTCTCTAAAAGGCTTTTCTTTTCCTTCAGTAAGAGTCATGATGGCTGATTTGACTCTCTTCCATATACTACCTGGCAGGATACTGATAGGGAAGGAAAGTTGTGGGTGTTGGGATTTTTTAAGGGTTTTTCAGAACTGAAAGCTTTGCATGCTAAGAATTAGTAATTCAGCCACTCGCGAAGGGAATGTGGAGGATGCCACTTTCACTGCATGTGTAAACACAGGGCTGAGATACTGCAACTGTGGGAAAGAGCGAGCAGTAAACTTGGTAGGCTCAGGGTCCTGTTGCAAAAGCCATGAAAGCAAGAAGTGCCGCCTTCTACTTTCCAGTTCACAACTCAAAACAGGACAAAGGCACAGAAAAAAAAGTTGGAGCATTACACTTAAAATGTGAAATGTGAGTCTTTCAGGGGTGTTATCATGAGTAGCAAATACCTGAGCAGATCAAAATTTGTCTTGTTCACTTGCTTTAAGATGCTGTGCATTAAAACTTCTAGAGTCCTCCATGACCTCTTCTGCTGTTCAACATCCACATTTCTCTGTGGATACTTAGAAAGGAACTTACTAGATGAGAACCATCTCATCTAGTTTGTTAGTTATATCACAAATCCCACTTTTTCTGCCTTGTCCTTAAAGGGTTGGATTTTGCTTGCAGTTAAGTGTTGGTGATGGGGAGTCCTGGGAGTTGCATGTACTCAGTCTCCTGATATGGCTTACATTCCCATACAGTGGGTTATTTAATCTAATCTGTAGAAGTGTATACAGCCATTTGTTTACTGTATTTGCGTTCAGTAATCAAGCTTTAATGAAAGTTTGCAACAGTCCAAAGATATAAATAAATATTGTGAAGCATTGGTAGAGCTATACATAGGAAGTGTAAATTCAAATTCCATTGAGAAATGTGTATGTACCAGTGAAATGGCTTATAGTTGACAGTGATGCAGTTCATATGTTCTGGGAACATATGTTGTAATAAATCCCGTATCATCACTGCAGCTGACTAGGCACTTATTGCTTGGGCACTAAGTAATTCTTAGGTGGCCAGTGTGTAAAATCATGACCTAGTGATATTTCAGATTGTATCAGAGGCTAGGACTTCATAATCCTCTGAGAGTTACACACATCTCTCTGACTTAATTTTATGGCTTAGGTATATATGGCTAAAATGTCTTGGAAGCCCTCAAGTTTTGTATGCAGAGTTGGGGAATGGAAGAGATGAATATGATTGCAGAGTTTGGTGTTCAGCATGAGTAGGACAAGATCCTGGGTTTCTTACTTTGACTCTGTTGCAGGTGGAGAGAGAGAAGGCCATTCTCCTGGCCAACCTGCAGGAGTCCCAAACGCAGCTGGAGCATACCAAGGGAGCCCTGACCGAGCAACATGAGCGAGTCCACAGGCTCACGGAGCACGTCAATGCCATGAGGGGACTGCAAAGCAGCAAGGAGCTGAAAGCTGAGCTTGACTGTGAGAAGGGCCGAGACCCCAGTGAGGAAGCACATGACTATGAAGTGGACATCAATGGCTTGGAGATCCTAGAATGTAAATACAAAGTAGCTGTTACTGAGGTGATAGACCTTAAAGCAGAAATCAAAGCCTTAAAGGAGAAATATAATAAGTATGTGGAAAACTACACTGAAGAGAAGGCCAAGTACGAGAGCAGAATCCAGACATATGACGAGCAGGTGACAAGCCTTGAGAAGTCAACCAAGGAAAGCCAGGAAAAAATGATCCACATAGAAAAGGAATTGCAAAGGATGACAAGCATAGCAAATGAAAACCATAATACCCTCAACACCGCCCAGGACGAGCTGGTGACATTTAGTGAGGAACTGGCTCAGCTCTACCATCATGTCTGCCTGTGCAACAATGAGACACCAAACAGGGTCATGTTGGACTATTACAGGCAAAGCAGAGTCACCCGCAGTGGAAGCCTGAAAGGACCAGACGACCCTCGAGGTCTCCTTTCCCCGCGGCTTGCCAGAAGGGGGGTGGCATCACCCGTAGAAGCCAGGACCCCGACCGAGCAGGTGACAAAAGAGGCCACGGAACCTGGCAAGGAACAGAGCCCGACAAAAACACCTAGCATTTCTCCCGTCATCACAGCCCCTCCTTCATCCCCTGTCTCTGATACTAGTGATATTCGCAAAGAGCCGATGAACATCTACAACCTCAATGCCATAATAAGGGACCAAATCAAGCACTTGCAGAAGGCTGTCGATCGGTCGCTGCAGCTGTCACGCCAGCGTGCTGCAGCTCGGGAGCTGGCACCCATGATCGATAAAGACAAGGAGGCCTTAATGGAAGAGATACTGAAACTGAAATCACTCCTGAGTACAAAGCGGGAGCAGATCGCAACCCTGAGAGCAGTGCTGAAAGCCAACAAGCAGGTAAGATGCTAATACAGCAGTCAGTTAGGAATGTCTGTTATTTATACAGGTCACTTACAAGCTTTCCCAGGAGTATTTCAGAAGAGAGATTTTACTCACAGGTTATTTAGCCTCTCATTCAATAATGGCAAAGGCAGACCTTTCTTCCCTTGCTCCTTGCCTCTTCTTTAAGCTCTTTAGCTCTGCTTTTCTCAGCACCCACCATTCACCAAAAGCACAGGCAGAAGAGCCTTGCCTGTGGAGCAAAAGAAAAGCAGAGGGGCAGGGAGGGATCAGCTACCCACCAACTGTGGGCATGTTGCTAGTATTATTGCAAAATTATAGGATTGTTAACATAGGAAAGCAAAACAGAATGTGCATGGAGGGGCTCTCAGGGATGTGATGACCCCTTGCCAGGGCAGGTACTGCTGGAGCAGTGGGGAGGGCAAGTGTAGGGGAGACCACCTGGGCCAGCACCTCAGCAGCTGCAGGTGGCCCCACTGGTGGGATTTAGTGGAGCAGATGGTGCAAACAACCCATTGCGTTCTTCTTGGTAATACTCCACAGGCTGTAAAATGACCCGCCCCCCCCCCCCCCCCCCCAAATTTAAGGAGGATTAAAAATAAATGCCACAAAAGCTAAAGTGTGCCTCAGGAAGATAATGGCAGGCGCAAGAGTGTGACCAGGGGCTCTGGACTGTATAGAAGCTGGGCATTTCTTTAATCAGACACCAGGTGAAATGCTGAGTTATTTTCTCTATGGGTGGTTGGAAATTTTTTTAATGATTTTTCTTTTTAGTCAGAAATAATTTCTCCTGCCATTGTCACGTTTTTAATCCTTTAAGAAATAAAATCAGTTTTCTTTTTTTTAAGAAAAAGGACAACATTACTACATGATAAAGCTGACTGAAATAGTAACTGCAATTTTTTGTTTTGAAAAGGATTCATTATAAAGTTATATTTTAAGAGAATAAAAAATTTCAAATTATTATTTTGAAAATTTTCACAACTTAAAAAAACCCATCAAACCACTTTTTTTTTTATGTTTCACCAATGCAAATAAGCTGAGAATTGCTGCATTTTATATCAAATGCCAAAAGAGGACCATGTAATGGTGTGTTTTTCAAGAGTACTGTCAGGTTTTTTTGGCATCGTATACCATCCTGAGCCCTTTGTATCCATTAGATTCCAGGTCTGCAAACAGTTAAAAAAGTTAAATTTAAGCATGCAAATAATTTTATTTACTTCAGTGCATCTCCTTATGCCCAGAATTAAATCTGAATGCAAGAGGCTCCAGTGGCAGAGTCATCGTTCCAGATTGCCTGGGATTTTTCTCATCTAAAAACAGTGCAGTGATCACCACATGGGGTCATGAATCCTGGTTAACAGCTTGAGATACTGTTAACTGATGACAGGGATAGCATTTTAGTGTTAAAATTCCCAACAGTCAAGTAGTCTGAAGTTACAGTTTCAAGTTTAATTGATTGTTGGATCTGTAACTGCATTTCTAGAGTACTGGGGATTTTTAAATTGCAGCAATATTTCAATATACACAGAGTATTTTATAGCATTTCCCCTCCCCCCCAACACATGTTAAATATTAATTTCAGGTAATTAAATACCATCTCTAGCTAAGCAATAATAGCTCTGAGCAATTATATGTGGATTTTCCATGTAATTAAAATGTAATTAAGATGTAATTGAAGTATATGGGTTTAGATTCCAAATTAAAGATTTTTTCCATTAGCATAGAGCTATCATTTACGTTTTCATACCACCAGAGAATCTAGCTCAGTCTTGCTCTTTTATTGCTGTCAGAAATGAAGCGTCATCCTGAAGCATGCTCACTGAAATGGGAAAGATAGATTTACTGAGAAAGGAGGTGCTATTAACTAAACTTTTATTTATTGGATAGCAGCATAGATATTGGTAACTGTACAACTGGATATAGAATCTTGTAATACTGTTCATGCAAACCAAATATCAACATCCTCAAACTTTCAAGTGAAAAGATATAATGATATAAAAGGGAAGGAGAAATTTAAAGTTGGGGGGGAGAGTGAGTTTTGTTATGCACTAGCAGCGCTGCCAGCCTCAAGTGATGGGTATATCCCAGTGCCCAAAGCACATCTCATGTTCAAAAAACAGGAGTCAAGATTCATCCCCTTGAGTTCTTATTATTTTGAAGGGGAAATTTTTAAGCAGCAATAGGCTGGGGATATTTTTCCCTCTTGAGTTTCAGTTTAGATGAGCTTACAGAGGACATCTGGTTCAGTTTTTTCCATTTGTTCCAGAAGCACAAGAGCTAGAATCTTAATTATTTTTTTTAAAGACCTTCCCTGATCACTAATGAAGCTGACATTAATAGGAAACTAGGTCTTTTCATCCCATACGTAGTACGGTAGGACTCTGCTGGTGCCCAAGGTAGCAGGGGAGAGCTGCGGGAGACCCCTTTGAGAGGGAAGCCTGCAGCTGGTGGGGGGCTGGATGCCCTGGCCCATCCTCAGCCTCCAGAGGGGCCACATCTCATCACATCTCATCTCATCGTGCTTTGTAGCTAAATCATTACAAAACACCTGTATTTGTTAGCACTCCAGTGACACTTTAGGTGAAGCTTTTTTGGTTGGAGTAATATGGGAAAGCAAGATAGGCACAATCAAATACACTGTAAGAATGGCAAGACCTGGCCTTCCTAGAGCATCTCACTGTTCAGATCCAGAGGGGAAGAGCAGCAGCAGGCCCCCGGGTCTGGTGGTTTGGGCTGTACTTAAGTAGTGAAAGGACACCCGTGACCGGGGAAGCACGGGTGCCATCTACTGGCCGCCAGAAGCATTGCAACATCAGATTAAACCCAGAATGGTACAGTTTTCCTGGCAATACGCTTGGTCTCAGTGCTCTGACATAGTGTTAGGTGCACAGGGGCAAATGGTTCATTGGAAGAGAAAAAGAGCAAATGGAGTTTCTGCCTCCTCACTTGAATTATTTCCAATTTTCTTCACAGTGACTTACCCGACGGCAGGACAGCCCTGATGGTGTCTCTCTTTCTGTCCCCTCCTGCTGCAGTGGACAGGGCACTCCAGCAGTGCAGCTACACCTTTTAAATCTTTAGCAGCATACAATATATTTCTGTTTGAACCTGAGTAGCTGTTGCCTAGTTTAAAGTATTTGGCAATATCTGATGATATTTTTTTTTATTCTAGCTGTATTTTCTTTAGTAACATTTTTCAAATAAGCATTTTAGTGTTAGGCTGGGCTGCAAACAGACTACACAAAAAAAGAGAGCAAGATTTGCTCTAAGAAGCTGCAAACCTGAGCCCAGGAAAATGGATTATTAAATCAATTGCTCAAGATAGCAAGGCATGTATATCTTGCTAGCTTGCTTGCTTACCTTGTCTTGATTTATGTATCCATTTATTCATAGCCGTAATTACTGTGTCAGCACCAGTTTTGTGGGCAAACCCAAGTAGCATTAGCATTAACAAGTACCATAAATTCTAAAGTAATATCAAATTAATGACACAGTAACTTTTAGGACCAGTTCAATAACAGTTTTGATTTTGATTTCTAATAACATACAGAAAGCAAAACTGCCTATGAGGGCAGTTTAATATCCTGAACTTCTGATTAAAAAATGATCGGTTGTTCTCATAGGTAAATAGTTTGATGGGAAGGAGTTGAATCAGCAAGACCTTCACATCTGCATTGGCAGTAACTATGGTGCCTCCAGCTCACATAACTGAGATACCAATAAAAGTCCTTCAGAAAAAAATCACTTGATAACCACAGATGTATGATGCCTTATCTATAACAAATGCCCTGATATGATATAGACAGTGTACAGTAGAATTTCGGCTGGGAAAGTGAGGCTGGGTGGAAAGATCCAGTACCACATACGTTTTCTGCACTAAAATAACAGGCTAGTGTTCTGCTTTCTTGTGTGAAAAAGTAAAGTACTTGCCACTGTAGGACTTAATATTTTTTCAGCAACATTATTTTTCACTTGATCTGTTTCTCACACTGCTAATTTAAAGTAAATGGGATACAAAGTTGTCTTAGAATGTGAATATATAGAGGGAATGAGATTTGTTCATGGATTTCAGGATTAATGTGGCCACCTTTTGGCAGCTGGATTTGGGCAAACATCTCTTCTGTAAGGATAAGGAGGAAGAATAAAAGGATGTTGTTGGTTCTGGCAGTGCCTGGGGTTCTGGGGCTTGGGTGTTTGCTCACCTCAGCCTGTGCAGCTCCGTGTCTGGGTTTTGGGGACAAGGGAGCTGAGCTCTGCGTGCCCCAGCTCTCTTTTCCTTGCTAGTGTTTCACACTCTGCAGGAGTCTAGGTGTCGGAGCTCTCTGCTCCCTCCCGGCCTTGCTATTCAGCTCCAAGTGACGACTTCTGCACAGCAAATGTTATATGCGCTGCGAGCCATTAATCCCATGTCTCCAGGCGGCTTGCTGCGTGGACGTGTAGTTCGTTTGCCCAGTTCGTCGGCATGACTAGTCTGATAGGAGTGTCATTAGCCCCTCTCCTGTCTTATTGCATTATTTACTTCACTGAAGAGTATTCACACATTTTTCTGCATTTTCATCTTTTTTCTTGTGCTCCTCATTTCCGTGTGCATTGATCAGAGGTTACATTTTTATGTGGAGCAAAGTTCTCTGATTTCTCTGACACAATTTTGTGGTTAACCACAGCTTAAAACCAAATGCTTCAGAAAGAGCTGTTAAAAACAAAGCCGGGTCCTGGGCATCTGCTTCCTTCTGGCACCCACTGCTTGGAGATGCAGACTTTTATTTGCCCAGTCCTTCCTTTCAGAGCTCTCCAATCTAGATTATACCACAAAACTGGTTTCAGGCACGACCACACATGTATGGCTTAATGGGTACAATTTTGGTGATTGGCTGAGAGGAGGAACAAATAGAAATAATTTAGACTAGAGCTGGTGCTGGAGGAAGAGTGACATGAAGCTATAGCTTCAGTTCATTTTGTCCCTGTTACTCTTGGCACAGTCTAACAGTACAGCTGAGGTGACCAGACACATAGGTACCTCTAAAAGATGGAGCCCAAGTTCCCCTTCTCCCCTAAGCCCCGCTCCCCATTACACATGCTGTCTTCAGGGTGCTTCAGGCGAGTTTTCTGCTTCTTCAAGCTCCCCAAACTGTCTCACAGTAAGCATAGAAGAAAACCACCAGGTGTGCAAAGGGTAGGGATGGGGAAGGGCTGGGTAATTATTCTTTTGGTGGCAGCTAGCCAATACAGATTGACTTAGCTGCATTGTAAAATGGCAACCTCTGAGCCAAGGAGTCTGACAGCAATTGGCTTCAGTCAGCATTCAGGTCCCAAACCGGTGAGCTAGGGGTAGCCTGAGCATCTGCACCATCCAGTGCCCACCGGCTCTTACAAAGAGCTCTCGAGCATGCTGTGCCTCACACTAAGGTGATATACCGCTGCTCTGCTTACCCTGGCTGCAGGTTTCCAACAGGAGCTTCCCCAACCTGCTTCCTGCTTCTTTCTCTTGTTAAAAACACGTTTTTGTTAGTCTTATTTGCTTCTCTAGTAAAGCACTTGTGCCCATTCGTTCTTCACTTAGGAGACTTTCAGAAGGGAGACCCTCAACTGCCTGCAAGGGGAGTGTTCAAAAGCCTGGATGGTGCATGGAGAGCCACCAGGTACTTCCAATAGGTTTTGCAGTTTATGCTTCATTTTCTATATGTTGTTTTATGGGAAGCTCTAATGGGAAGGGAAAAAAAGACTTGAAGGTTTGTCACAATCCTTCCTCTGTTACCTTTATTCACCAAGTAAATTATATTTCTGTGTTATTTTTCATCCTGTAGTGTTACATGTCTATTTAATTTACCCGGACATCCAGACTAAAACGTAGGGATCAGAATGATCTGTCTGATCATCGTGCACAGTTTCAGTGATGTGTAAATCACTGGGTTTTATTGGAATGTGTAATCCCACTGCTGAAATAATTTAACACTTTTTTAAAAAAGTCTAGCATTAGGTAGCTCATACCTTTAACTCATTATCATTCCTAAATGAAGGAAAATCTTTACATGAATTCTGTATTCGAAGATGAGCTATGATAGGTTAAGGGACATGGGACTATATTTCTCTTACAAAGCAAAGACATCTGATTTCCTGCCTTGGGGGAAAAGCAGAACTCAGTTTGAGCTATAGAGTCTATCTGTGCTCTCGTAAATCACTTCTGCCTCATCAGTGACCTAATTCTTAATGTAAATTCTAAATAAATCTGATTTAATCATATCTGTTAAATAGGAATTAGTCCTCTGATGCACTATTTCCTAGATTTCCCTTCAAAAAAGTAGTTTTATTAAACATAGTTAATCCATCTTCTTCATGTTAATTTATGAGTGTACATTTTTGCTCATGGCTGAAAACAGATAGAAAGCTGACAAATTCTGCTTTAACCTGCCAAGGCATAGGATGGTGTCTACCATCCTACAGTATACCAAAGCATATGTCAGCAAGGTTAAGAAAAGCTTCATTTATTTGAATATATCCCTAAATGACTGGTTTTTTTTAACATGTATTGTTGATTTCAGATTTGGCATGGAAAAACCTGTCTATTTAAAATGACAGGTAGTTACTTGTGATATTTAAAAATCTCTTCTCTCAATGTAAACTAGTGTGAAAGTAGAGAAAAGGTTATTGGTGAGTGTACAATTTAAAAAAAAAAAGAATTATTTTAATGTTGCCATTTCTAACTGTGCTATTTCCCCAGACACAAATGAATAGAGTTGTATTTTACTAGGAGATGCTAACATGTCCTTTTGTTAACAGATATTGTTAGTGGGAAATGTATTGAGTTTCAGAAAACTGAGTTTAAAATAGGTTTCCAACTGTTTGGCCATTACCATCTTTTCTCACATCCCCTTACTGGTTGCTTTAATCTAATGTTCTTCTACACTTCTCTCCCCTGGTGATGGCTCAAGAACCCACAAGATCAACAGGGGAAATTGATTGCCTGTATGAAATGCTGCAACTTATTATGCACTAAATGAAGTGAAAAAACAACCATACACCCCTCTGAGTAAATGTAAAAGGAAACATTTTTTTCTTCATCTCATTCAATGGTAACAATTTTGAATGTCTCATATGAGCAGTAGGTATAAAGCCTCTATAAAACCATGTATTTTGAATAACTTCAAAACAATACTAAACTTCATAGGTAAAGCAGAAAGTTCAACTCTTGCAAAAATCAGACAAATGTAACTATTAAAAGCAGTAGGACAGTAAATTAAAGAAATTTAATGGATGAAATTGAAAAAAGAAAGGAGGGAGCAGAAAAAATGAAGGAAGACTATGACTACAAGCCTTTGCTTTCCTGTTAAGTAAAAATTGTAATTTATAATTTTTTTGTTCTGTTTGTGTAGTGGTTAAAACTACCAAAATACTTCTGGTTTGCACAACAATAGGCATTGCCAGTGCTCAGACATAAAAGCAAGCTGTCAGGTCCTGGCAGTCACCTCGCACAAGGAAAGCCTCAGCTGGCAGGAACCAGCGAGGTTCTGAAGTGCTGAGGCCTGAGCAACAGGCCCTGAGCCAAAGCTGACCTATAGATGAACATCCCAACCAAATGTTGTATAACATGTCTGATCATTAGCAAAATATGTATGGTCATTAGAAAAAGATGTAGCTTAGATAAAATATAGTCATTAGTAAAGTTAAATATCATGAGAATATGTTCAGCTTTCCTGTCTGGAGGCAGGTTGTCAAGGCCATGAAACCAAGTGTCTGGCCTTGTTTCGAAATATGTGGTCAAAACCACACAGATAAAGAAGCTCGCTAGGTTTCTCCTTGAACCTTGGCCAAGCTTTGGTGGAATCTAGAAGGAGAGAGAAACCAGATGTTTCCACACTTAAAGTTTTCCAAGTTGTTTATTCAACTGTATAAAAGCTGGACCCCCTTACATCGACTTTGGAGACCTCATCTACGAGTGGACGCACTGAGTAGGACCTTCCAGTTGCCGGGAAAGGTTCTCTAAATCCTCGTTGTAACCGAGGCTCCCCAGTGATTGCGGATCTAGATGATGGTAAAGTATAATGGCAATTGGTGATGTATCTTTCTTAATCACTATAGCTAACCTTATGTAGTAATGATCAGGTGTATTACCCTGCTTATTTCCTTTGCTGCTTGAAACTAGAGTGTAATAAGCCTATTGTTTTAACTAAATGCATTGCCTTCTTTATGTATTATCTTAATATAGACAGTAAAATAAGCCTACTCCTTTTGTTGGTGTCTGTGTCCTTTCTGTTGACCTCATCCATTGGCAAAACAGGTTCACATGAGGCAAAACACGTTAGTTCACGCCTTGGCTACAGAGGCAGAGTCTCACGTGCCATGTGTCCCATTCAAAACGCGGTCAGTGGACACACCTGGTTGTTTATTGTAGCTCAAATGGCACGGTAGCAGTTCCTTAAGCTGTTGTAACTTAGTCACTTGCCTGAGTCCTCAACATACAGCTACACAATTTTGCAGAGACATTTAAGGTGTCGAGTTGTTGCCAGTGCATTGGAATTGGCTTTGTCCTTTCAACTGCTTTCTCCTTTTCCTGGTTTCATGGAGTACAACTTAAAAGAAGACATTAAAGGGTGCAGTGCAATGAAGCTCAGGTCTAACTTCTTTTACCTTGTGAATGAAGAAGGAAATCAAAAGCAAAATCAAACATGGTATCTTAGCTGTTATCAGATCTCTCTCATGAGCATATATCCTTGTTTGTGTTTTCAGACAGCTGAAGTGGCACTAGCCAATTTGAAGAATAAATACGAAAATGAAAAAGCAATGGTGACTGAAACCATGACCAAACTACGGAATGAATTAAAGGCTTTGAAGGAAGATGCAGCAACCTTCTCATCCTTGAGAGCAATGTTTGCAACGAGGTAAGGGAAACAGTTTCACTGTCTGGCTCAGCACTGTAAAAGTAAACGTGTGTGAGTGCTAAGTGAGAACAGAGTTAGCCATGTGTGTTGGGTGCTTAGGAGGAGAGACAGAAATTATTTTCTGCAAGGTCAGAGGTTTGGTGGATGAAGGTGAATGAGTCTTAAGAGTGCACACTGTGCAAAACCTGCAAGCTTTCAAGTGCTACTGAGATGCGTGTCTTGAAAAATAAAGCCAGAGAATAGCAATGTCAATACAACCTTGAGTAAAGTGTTACAAATGCCAATATATGCATCCAGTATATTTGCATTTATAGGGCTTTTTAAAGTGGAAATCAAATAGTAGATTTATGTGGCTGATTATGACATTCAGAAGTATGCAGTGATTCTATCATGTAAAGCTGTAGTATGGTTAACGATGATCTTCAAAATCCCATGTTTTCATTATTGTTAGATTTATTACTTCCACTAGTAAAATCTATTTCATCAACCAGCCTATGCTGTAATCCAGCACTAATAATTGTGAGGCCACTGCAATTTCCCACTCCAGCATGAATTCTTATTTTCTCCTGCTGTGACATTCAATTTATTATCTTTTCCTTCACAGGATAAAAGTTTCACTTATCTTCTGTAACATAGTTCCTCCTGGCAGGATGGTAATTAATCATCTCTCATCTTTCCTTCTCCCACACCTTCTTCAGAAGTGCTTTTGGTTTTAGCTGCTTTTTAAAAGGTCACCTAAAAATATATATATTTTTTAAAGATCCAACATTTTAATCAATAAATTCTTAATTCCTATATATGCAAGGAAATTAGTATCCTCAGGAAATTATTCTGTTATATCAAGGTGTTTTTTTTTTCCCCTTATGATCAAACACAAAGCAGATTTCTTGCTTGTGCTTTAGTCTATAAGTGGTAAGATGTCTTCGTGCCGCACGCCAACATCTCTTCAGTGCTCCCTGTGCTATATAGATCCCATCTCACTTCTTCCAGCCTTCTAAGGTCCTTTGTTGTTTAGTGACAGTGGCAGAAGCAGCTGGGAGTGGTGGGAAGGAAGGAGAAGGGACATTTACATGCCATGACATTGGTGCTGTGTACAAATTCATCATAGGTTCACCGTCAGAAGAGTACGTGTAGTGCCATAATGGAAATGAAGAACCAGCTCAGCAGGTGGTGTGAACCAAGGTAGCTCCATTCATTTCATTGGCACCTAAAGATCTTCTGCAAGAAAGGAAAGTTGTATGTGTGTATTAGAAATGCATGTGCCGATCTTTATTTGCAAGCTCATTACTCTAGGAGATATATGAATGTACTAACTCTGTAAGACTACCTGAAAGGCTACTAACTCCAGAGGAAAGGAGTGGCATCATGAGCCTAAAGCAAACAAGGGTCTTGCGTGGAGCATAAATCATCAATCTACAAGGTAAAAGAAGTTTGCAAAGATTTAGAAGTTGTTACTTAAAGGGAAAGTTAGGTGGTTGGTGTACTGAATGCTCTTTGCTCTATTTAGTCATCCTGAGTGCACACTTCTGTTGGGTTTAAGGCATATTCTAAAGCTGGTGGGAGACAGCAGCATCTCTTCTGTGATAATTAGGCTTCCATGATGCCATTCATCTAGGTGCCTTTTCTAGATGTCTTGTGTGTAGGATGCAGTGAAGCTTCTGTTTCTCTTCTATAACCTATAAAGGGAATCTGGGAGACTTGCTGAGTTACAGATTTCCACTTTGTAAATGTCTAATGTTAGTAGAGATAAACCCCACCCAATGCATCTACTGCTGTTGGTAAATTCCATGTAGTAGTGATTAAACAGTCAGTGCATGGCCTATGGAACGTATCCCTGCCCTTGAGGTTGTAAGTTTTGCCCAATATTTTCTGAGCATAAAGTCATTCACTGCAAGGTCTTGCACATCAGTGTGCTCCTATAGATTTATCTGTTGTAAAATACTGCTTTTCCTTCTTTACTCTGGAATATAATGGCCTTTATAACTAAATCAGTCTTCCTAAATGTTCAAATCATTGACTCATTCTGAATAGTCCATTTGGAATAGCATTTGTATAAATGATAGAGAACTGATATACTTTAGATGTCTGTTGGAGAAATCTGTTTGAAAATTCAAGACTGTAAGATTTTCCATGCAGTAATATTAGATGCAATACCAACCTTCAGCATAAAAAAGCAATTGTTTAGTCTTCTGTTGAATAAAACAGTGGTTTCCATGGTAATCCTGCATCATATGGTACTTACTCCTGAATTTGTACTGTAGGGAGAACATCCCTCTGATAGCAGAGTTATATTATAGATCTGAAAATTATTTCATATACTGTTTGATGGAGTAATATTCTTTCTTTTTCACAAACCATCCTTTTCTGTTCAATTGGTCCCTAAATGGATGTTCATTCTGGTGCCAAACTGTATAGTTCCTTCCTCAAATGGACTACATAAAGGTCATACCACATTATAAGGAGAACATAGCATGGCCTGTTTCTGGTCTGAACAGCAAAGACGACACTTTTCTCCAAAGCTCCCCTACACATAAAGCAGGAGCCATCCTTTTTCTATGTTTCTCCCTGACACTTGTGCATCCTTCCATTCCTTAAGTTCTTTCTTCAGTTGTTCTCTCCTCCCCCTCAAAAGTCCTTCTGTTGGGCTTGTACCTGTACTTTTGCTCTTTTTCCTTCTGGGCCTGTGTTTTTCCCAATCCAAGATTTGTGTGGTTCTGAGCTCTACAAGTTCCTCCTTCCCTCTTCATTAGCCTTGTGATCCCTTTCTGAATTTACTTCAGACCTGTGAAGAATATGTCCTCAATAGCATTTAAACTCCCTTTTCCTCAAACACCTCTCTTAGAAAAAGAAAAAGAAAGCAATAGCATATAAAACCTTTTCTGTGGGATGCATGGGGTTGGCAGAGCAGAATTGAAGTTCCTGTTTGATGCCAGGGCCATATGCTGCACATCAGTTTTGCAGCTCCTGCCTTTAGTGTGCTTATTTTGTCCTGGGCTGCTTCTGGTAGTCCCAGACCAGAATAAACAGTGAGAGCCTTTCCTGTCTCTCCTGTCATTTCCCCTCACTCCAACCCTGGGTCTCTCACCCAGGGTGGGAGATGTGAAGTGTGAAACAGTGAGACGGGCGGCCAGCACTCATCCAGAGGGCAAATGAAAAATAAACTCTTTAAAACATTAGTTTTCCAGTCTAGAGTAGAGGTTCTGCTGGGAAAGGAAGGGAAGAGAAGTCTACTTTTAAAGCAGGATCCTAAAGGGATTCAGAAAGCTAATTTTATTGAGTCCTTACACATGCTTGCTTTCCCAGCCTAAATAGAGATACTCAAAAGGAGAGAGCAAGAAATATTACTCATGATATCACCACAGTCCTGACACTGCATGCACTGATTTTATCCTCCATCCATCCAGACATTTTCTTGTAATATTTAAAGCAAAAATTGTGATGAAGAGATGGCCTAGGATGTTCAGACAGGTCCTGGAGCTAACCTAGATGAGAAAACATTTATGAGCAGAAGAGAATTATGCTTATGTGGCTAGAGCAGGGACCTGTCACTGTCAGCATCACTGGGGTTTAGCTCAAGCTGTGCTATGATTTATGTTACCTAAATTACATGTAAGCCTGACTCGGTATTTGGTTTGCATTACAGACGAGAGAGATAAATGGAACTAGAAATCCCTTAAACTCCTATGTAAGCTTCTTGGATCAGTTCATACAAAATAAGTGGGCATATCTGTCTGTCTGCTTCCTCTCTGAGACAAGAGAAATGAGAAATATGGGAAATCTTGACTTTCCCTCTGCAATAAGTAGACCAGCAGACAGCAAGATAGCAGTGCTGTTTGTTTAATAGTCACTTGTGGCTGGGGCAAGGGAGAAATTGGGAAAGAGCTCTGACTCAGGAGGACATAACCTAACTGTTGTTATTGACTACTATTTGAGTACTTCTGAAAGATCAGTTTAGAGCCCTGGTGCATCCTGGAGCCCTGCTCGGTCCGTAACGGTCCGTGCAGTGCCAGAAGTCACCTCTCTTAGGAGCTCTTAAACTTTTTCTTCCCTAGTATGTTGTGAGACTTCACAAATGTTTATAAAATGTGTGAGCAAAAGGCAATATGGATGTGTGTGATGCTTTTTTCTTTTTTAATTGGAAACCTTTCTCTTTTTATCCCACACTTGGACATAGCAGGGAATATTTCAGTGAAGGGAAATGCCGTGGCTGCAGGTAGCAGCTACCTTCCACTACTTGGAATAACCTTCACGGCTGCAGACTTCAAGGAGACCTGAGGCTGCTAATTCAGCAGTTTCTAAAGTTAATTATGGCCTTTACTTGACTGATTTACGTTTAACCTTTCTGAACACTGCTTCTCAAAAAAAACCCCACCATACTTGAGCAACAAAACACAGAGACAATGGACCATGTGTTTGTGAAAAATAATAGGAAACTTTGAGTCATGGTGGAGGCCAGATGACTGGAACCACCCAAACATTGCAGTGAACTGCCAAAAATGCAGGGCTGCTATTACAGGGAAATTTCTATGAAGGGCATATAATTAATCAGAACAGTTGGAAAATGTTGTATTAATGAGATTGGTTTTGTCTTGAGTGTGAGGCCAGCTAACAGCATCTAGTATATGCAGGTTTCTAGGACCAGCTTGTTATAGTTCATAGCAGGTAATGAAAAGCAGTTTTGTTTAAATCTGCTTTAGTAATATTCACCTTCATGGAGCTTATGTTTCACTGTTTTACAAAGCAGATGCCAAGGTACCAAGAACACAACCTAAGACCTGAGGAAAACCAATCTTTTTCTAAAACCAAAACTGGCTTATTGGCTTACTAAAGCAAGATAGTTCATTCTTCTAGTGGCACTGTGACACAGGTGTTGTTGCAGGTGTTACTTTTTAAAATTTTCAACAGAAAAAATATTTTTTTTTAAAAAAAAAGATGTCTCCTAGACAAAGAGGAAAGCAGGAGAGAATAAGAGAGATGGACATAGGGTCGATCTGGTTATAAGAATGAGTCTTCAAAACTCCAATAATACAGACATTATAGTAATTCCTTTTTCAAATGAATTGAATTTAATCTCCAGAATGCTGACTTCATTCTAATGTCTCTGTCAAAGAAACTAGCTAAAGCATCAATAAACATCTCATGGTTTGGAGCAGAAATAGGTGTGCAAGTTGGCTTTAAGCCAACCAACGTTTCAGAAATATCTCTTCCTCAAGACTTGAATAGAGACAGTCGTGCTTATTAAGGTCCTGTAGGAGAAAGATAATACTGAAACTGTAGATGAAACTGTGTCTGACTTAGGAATTTTGCTTCCGGTGCCTGAACTATTCAAAAGGAGAGTGCAATATATATGTTTGTGTGTGAAGAAAAACTACAAATTTTCAAGTTCGTATTTCTGTTCCCCAAGGAGATTAGTTACAGAGAAATTAGTTTCATCCCTTGGTTTGCAATAATTCAAATTTTTTTGTGTCACAAATTTTGAGAAGGAAAACTATAATTATTTTCTATGTTTGGTTTCTGTGAGTGATACTGATAAACTTAAATCCTCATCCATTACACTATTGTAATTACACAGCAAAGCTATTTAGATTTATACAGATCACATGGGGAGGAGATTTGATAAAAGCTGCATCATTTAACATGAAAAATTCTTGGATGTTGCCACAAATGTCCGATAGTCAGACAGTACTGCTACCTGTGAATGATTTCACTACTGGTATACATTTGTCACTCTTGGTTCTTACTGATTAGATGGTCTATTTTTAACAAACTGAAGCTATTTAACTTCAAAAAATTGACTAAGACCACCCTGAAATGCCTTCCTCTTCCTGTTTAGGAATTGTTGTTTAAAGTGAGACTAAATTGAATTCAGTCTTAAATGCTAACAAAATCATGAGAAAAATGGTTTTCTTTCAAAATCTGTCTCAGAGATCTAAAGCAAATGAAAAAGATACAGTTTTTCATGCAGATAAAAGAGGCTGAGGGATAAAAAGCAGTAGGTGACCATAACAATGGATACCTGAGCACACCTCCAAGAGACTCAACAGTAAACGTGAAATAACTTCCAGGTGTGAATTTTCCTAAATAGTACCTCTTTAATCAGTTAACAATGGCAAACAACTAGAGGGCTTCTGATTTCACAAAATCTGATGTGTCAAGTGTTCAAAGTACTTGCAGTCTTTTTTTTTGTAATTTTTTGTTGTATTTCGCTTAAGTAGATAATACTGTCTATGAAAAATAGTATTATCTAATTAGTAGACATTCTTATCCCTGCTGAATTCCTAGCTGAACCAGCCCCTAAAATTGTTTTTTGTGGTCTAACCTGGAGGTAATCCCAAACCTTCCCTCCAATTGCTAGTTATCTGCATTAGAAACATATCATGTTGTCATAGACTACTCTGATATTCTAGATACAGGTTCTCCTGCTAAATGGGAAGTGTTGGCATTCAGATCCAAGTTCAAATTTATTCAAAGTGAGAATGGAAGAATTCAGGCTGGCTGCTTCCAGGATTAGGTTTGACAGAAGCTTGGATCTGAATCTGCCCCTGTAACTGCAGCCGAAGAACATGATCACTAGTAGGGTTGGTTCTTGGACCAGTTCCTGAGATTTCTGCCTTGTTCGTTTTCCCAGGTGTGATGAGTACGTCACACAGCTGGATGAGATGCAGAGGCAGCTAGCAGCTGCGGAGGATGAGAAGAAGACCCTAAACTCTCTGTTGCGCATGGCTATCCAGCAAAAACTTGCCCTTACCCAGCGACTGGAGGATTTAGAGTTTGACCATGAGCAGTCCCGACGCAGCAAAGGCAAGCTTGGAAAGAGCAAGATCGGCAGCCCTAAAGTAAGTGAGGAGGCATCAGCCACCGTGCCAAGCATAGACACTTTCCTCCTGCATAGTCAGGGCCCACAGCAACCAAACTTACTGGTCAGCAGTGGCACTCAGAGGAAAAGGTATGCATGCAGTGATCTTTACAGTACAGTGCAGTGGCCAGACTTTCATTAAAGTCGTTCACTGAATTGTAAACATTATAATTCTTTCTTTCTTTTTTTTGTTTTCATACTTTGACTGGGGAGAAGGAGGTGGGGAGGATATGAATATGAAATTCAAAGCCTGGCAACATGTGGTTCTGATCCACCTACTCACTATGTTATTTCCTCCTCCTTAATGCGGTGTTTTGAACTATATTCTGTCAGTGTCTCAGTGCATCTTGTATGTCTTTAATATTAGTGTGAATGTATTTTCTTTAACAAGTTTTTCTTAAGTTTTCCTTAAGGTTTTCCATAACGAGCATCTGAGATAAAAAAAGGATTGTGCTCTATGAGCATTTCAGTGCTTAATACAAAAGAAACTGCACCTCTTTGTTAAGCTCTGGTGCTCACTTGTTCTTCATCAGTGTGAAAAGAATATGGATGTGTTCACTCAGACCAATTTTTCTACATGGGAGTAAGCAACATTTTGAAGGGGTATGGCTGCCATTCATAACTGAACGCAAATATTTCGCTGTTCGAGCAGTGAGTTCTCATCTTGTGACTGCCCTGCCAAAGCTCTATAGGTGTGGGGATCTCCACAGTTCTGAAGATGAAAAGGACTCTGTGTTAGAGAAGTCCTAGATAATCATTCCCTTTTCTTGTATGCTCTAGTCACAATGCAAAAAACAATAGAACATTCAGGGAGCCTTGTACATGTCGACTCCAGGATGCTGAGATATAACTCAGCTTCATCTCCTCCTCCCCTAATATGAACCAGGATTTCCAATGCAGTCAAGGTGCTCTGCTGTGGAAATGACATGGGGTGGCAACGCTAGGTGGTTTTAACCTGTTAAGCAAATTAACATGATGTTGTCATTCATGAGGCTTTGAAAGGTAATTAAAGTAAAACTCTTTTGTTTCCATATGTATTTTTCTTGGATCTCCTGCAAGACTATTCTCACCTTCCCTTTGTGATCAGAGCCATCCCAGGACTTCAGGGACCTACCTCCAGAAATTATTAAGAGCTCCCCCTCATCCCGCCTCCACAGAATCATATCTTCTGAGGGGCCCCCCTTCCATGAGTGAATTCATCCATGGGCACCGTCTCAGCAAGGAAAAAAGGTTAACCGTGGCCACACCAGGTAAACATTTTTTCCTTGGGTGCATGTGGTACTGAGTGTTTCACAGACCAGGGGACCCTCCCAGCACTGCAGATGCAATCTAATTTGGGCATCTTCTTATGACCTGAAAAGCAAAATGTCTCCTCCTGTGTCACCTGTGGCAGGAGATGACATTCTGCTGGCAGTGGCCCAAACTGGTTCCAGATGCAGTGGGGAAAGTCCTGCTCTGGTATAGGTGGGTGCAGTCCCGCTGGCATCCACAGAGGCTGCACCCCTGTCCCTGGGTGGTGCTTAGTCTGGTGGTTGTGTTGGTAGTCCCCATGGAAGACACAAACCCAAAGCGACAGAGGAGTCAGATGTGTGAAGACCAGAGAGGGAGTGATTGGCAATGTGCAGGAGCCTACGCAGCATCTGTCTTTTGCTCACCCTGGAGCATTCAATTAGGTTTTTCTAAAGGGTAATGTTAAACCCACAGAACGTTTAGTTTATATAAATTGAGTCATAAAGTTTATCTTTGCAGGAAGCTTTTGCTCTTCACTTTCTGCCAAAATGTAGTATCTGCTTCGAACAAGGCATAGAAAGGAAATGCAAACTGGAATGCCATTTCAAAGGTAGTGACATCTTTCTTCTCCTGACAGACAAGCTAATAATTACTTTTCTTCAGCACCTGAGCAGAAACTTTAGCCTTTAAATGTGCACACTCTTGTCTGGTGGTGAATTTTTTGCTTCTTTGTTTTGAAATTTGTTATACACAAAAAGCATAAGTAGAAAATACAAAAGCTAAAACCCAGAAAGTGGTTTCTGCTCAAGTAAATGTTCATTCTGGAAAGCTGAGCAATACCCTATAGTACGTTGTGTCTCACTCCGTGCCAGCAATATCACAGCCGCCTTCGAGTCATGCCATGCAAGTAACACCCACTCAGAGGACAAGTGTAAAACGGCAGAGAGTCTAAACAAGACATTTTCTCTAAAGGAGTGTTGCAGTAAATAAATCAAAGAGCTGGCTCCTGGGAAGAAAGAGGCGGGCAGTGAGAAAGACGCAACAACTTTAAAATGTATAAAATAAATGGTACTGATGTTTCAGCAATTTCTTTGTATTCTGTGGCAATGGAAAACCACGTGCTTGTTTTCTAACCCATAGACAGGAGTCTGTTTCCTAAACATTGGCAGTGTCTCTTTTATTTTTTCCTCTTCATCCTACAACAGAATGAGGATGATTTTCTTTCTGATGAACATTTACATCTCTTTAAAAAACTGGATTTTGCATATTCTGTATAGCCAAACTATCAGGTTTGGAAATGTGAGGATCTAGGCTCAAAAATGGCAATCTCCTAACATACAATTTACAAGACTCTTCTAATTCTAATTGTACTTCCCATGTACAGTTTACAAGAGTGCCAGGTCAAGGAGAACCAGATTTCAATCCATGGACTGGATGATCTTTGTGTGAAGAACCCTGACTGTATCTCAGCCTGTGAGACTGACAGGTTCAAACCAGAGATTTTTCTGAGTACTCAGATTCCAGTAATAGCAGGTCCCATGTTTAGAATCAAGTTTAGGATTAGGTAGGGAATTATTCAGCATTGTTCTTACCAGTTTCTGGAAGATTTCTTACTGCTGCTAACAGATCAAAGGAATGATGCACAATGTAGGATTTTTTTGCCATCTCTCTAATGATCTGTTTCCTGAAGGTAAGGAACAGTGAAGGATGTTATTCTGCTGCTTTTATAGGGAATGTTTAAAAGCCTCATATCAGAAAGAGTTTATTTTCCCAGACAATTTGTGCAGTCAACCAAGCCAGCAAGAAATGTAGAAACCCACACCTGCTTCTTTGCCAAAGAGGATGCAAAAAAGCAGCATCTAAACTTGAACACTATAAAGCAGACTATTGCTTGGCTTGAGGCTGTGTCCTTAGAAGTGGAGGAGAAATGAAGCCTAAATCAAATGCAATCAAGTTTTGCTTTTTTTCTTTTAGATTTGTGAACAATGAATATTTCACCCATATGATGTGCAGGCTTCCCTATCCTTTCATTAGCTCCCCGTGTTGTGGGGACTGGGAAGTTGTAGCTGGGAATGCATTTGATGGAGAGCAAGAGCCAAAATAACTGAAGTTGGTAGAGGGAGAAACTGGGCAGGCTTCCCTGCCTCATGATCCCCATGCAGTAGGAAAGCTGTGCCTATCTTTCTCTTACACTTTCTTCTGCACTTGGTGCTTGGTAGAAGAGGCTACCTTCACCATGGTCTGGCCCCAGAATTGACTGCGGCTGGCTATCTGGTAGAGGAAACCCGGGATTATTTCTTGCTGCCTTCTTCAAAGGAAGACCCTAGCATGAAGACTCACAGTTGAAGACTAGCTGAATTAAAGACCTCTCAAGAAAGAGATTGTTATTTCCTACTTGGTGTCCATTTGACTGCCCTCAGCTTTAAATCAGCGTGCACGTCCCTCTGACATCAAGCTGTGGCAGTACAAATTTATGTGGGCTTTCTAACTGAAGTAATAGCTCCTAACTGCTGTGGCTAAAAATACCACTCAGTCCATTTCCAAAGTATCACGTTTCATTTCCCCTAGGTAGTAGTATGCATCTAGCTTTGCTGCTGTGTTTCTTCTTTACTTCTGTTATTTTCTATCATTTTTACACTTTGAAGTCTTTATTCCTCTGATAGACAGAATCAGCTGCTATGTGTCCAGCAGAATTCCAGCCCACTTTTGTACGTGGCTGTTTTCATAACTACGTGAAAAAGTCAGGGCATACAGAAAGCCTAAGGCTGGATTTGACAGTGTGTAACACTGTATTAGAAATGACCTTTCCTTTGCAGCTGCATTCAAACTCCTTGAATATAAAGTCACTAGATGTCTCTTCATATCCCACAGTCACAAATATGAAATACACTTCTGGACTTCTTTAAGGAAAGAACAAGACAGAAGAGGTCAGCTGTAGGTGCACTGATACCACTCTTCTCTCTCTCAGTTATTTTAGCATGGAAATTCTAAAAGTTGAATATAAAGTTCTGTAATCTTAGTTTAAAATTAAATCCATTAAGATCCTTGTGTGGATGATGCACCTGAAGAAAAAGGTTTCCCAACAGGCTTATGAAATGGAGAGTAACTAATGGCTGCAGCATTCTACCTTCAACAGGAGCAACAACGGTATGTCTGAAAGTCTCTCCTTCATTGGAGTGCCCCCCAAACAAACTGTGGTAGATGCTTCTTTTCCCTATTGTTTATGCTTGCAGGGGACCACAGGGCAGATTTCAGTATTTACAATCCCCCACAGGAAAACACTCTGAATAGTATTTTGTATTTCCAAAGAAATTGGATCATAAGGTCATAATAAGCAATCCTTTCCCTTCTAGAGAATTCTGCACAGTCATATATTTTACTTTATTAAAATAGAAAAAAAGAAAGTACCCTTAAAATGTGACAGATTTCTCTGAAATTCAAGGCCCCTCTGAAGTCAGTTGTTTAGTTGACATAACCCAGGCTAGCCCCGTGGGATTCAACAGAACTATGCTAGTTTACTCCAGTCCCATGTTTTTGTTTTGTAGGGTTCAGATTTTATTGGTTTTGTTGTTACAAGACTTTTTCATAAAATGGAGCTTCTAAAACTTGCAAAAAGAAAAATCACTGCAAAATTGAGTAATTTTGTGCAGTTGCTTATTCTGAAAGCACATTAAACCTGGAAGTTCGCTTGCTTTTCAGGTGTCTTTCAAGGCTGATTTACAGAACGGTATTTAATTCTCACAGAAGAGA